TTTCAGTGCTAATAACACGAGCAGCAGCCACGAACTGAACGTAGGGACATTCTGTCCGAACCAGTATAAACCTTGTGTCTTTTTAGCATATTATCCGAGCCAGACGCGCAATAACACAAATTTACTCGTTGGTGTTTACTCGAAACACTGACACATAGAGTCTTATATCAAACTGCTAAATTGGAAAAAGGAGCATGCAAGGATGTTGGCTCTGTTCGTTTTACTGAAAAGCCATGGCTAAAAGTACTGTTCGATGATTTATTGTGAGAGAGGAGTCTGTCTACTACACAACCATGTATTTTATGCAATTCTAACACATGAATTTTCTTGCACCATAAGATTAAGATCCAACAGCATCCACCCTTCTTCTACCTCCAGCCTTCTTCTATCTTCAGACAATCACAAGATCATAGATCCACAGATCACAGGTCATAGAAATATTTTTTCTATGAAAGGACAAATCACAGATCCGCCGTCGCCACCGCCGCAGGTCACGGTCGCTGCAGGTAGCCGCCGCCGGCGCCCAGGCTGCTCGCCTCTGCCTTTGCCTCCCTCGACGCTCCTCCCAGGCTGCTAGCCGTCCGCTCGTCGGAGCTGCATCCGCTTGCCCGCCACGTCCGCTTGTCGGAGCCACGCCATGCTCGCCCGCCATGTCCACTCGCCGGAGCCGCGCCATGCTCGCTCGCGCTGCGCGTTCATGTGCCGGTGTGCGCTCGCCCGACAGCCGCCGCGCTCGCTCGCTCGCGTGCTGGTGCAGGCGCGGGCGTCGGGGCGAGCTCGCCGGTCACCGGCGGCGCCGGCGCCGGTGGTCACCGGTGAGAAAGAGAGAGGGAGAGAGATAAAAAAATTCATGTGTTTTTTGGTGCTAAAACACATGTATGATATATAGCATTTATGGAGAAAAAAACACTGTTCGTTCACTGAAATAATATGGCTCAAAAGACAAGCGAACAGGGCTATTATCATGTGACCTCTCATGGAGAAGAGCTCTGACACAAGTAAAGGAATGATTTTTACTAACGGTCAAAATCGTTCTTCAGGGCCGGTTCAGTAGAATGTCATAAGTGCTTCTCATGTAAGCACACCCTGCCCAGCCCAAGTTGTTGTGGTTCCATGTGCGTCACGCACACTCTGCAAAACCCCAAACAGCAATTAGAATGTCATAATAGTGACAGTGATCCTTAGTACTTATATTATGTTGTTGCTCATGCTGTTCTATTGAAGTTTTGATTTCTCTTGGGGCATGGTGGGTGAATTTGAAATGGCATGGTCAATGCAATCTGACGTACTGCATATACATATTTTGTTCCCCAACCAATGGCAGGTTCGTCCAAGTGAGCCACGAGCCTCCATTCAGGCCTATTTAGATTGGGGTTAGGAATTAGTATTTAGCACTGTAGCATTTTCGTTTGTATTTGATAATTATTGTCCAATTATGACTTAACTAGGTTCAAAAGATTCGTCTCATAATTTACAATCAAACTGTGTAATTAGTTATTTTTTTATCTATATTTAATACTCCATACATGTGTCAAAGATTTGATGTGATGGAGAGAGAGTGAAAAAACTTGCAATCTAAACAAAGCCTCAGTTCCAAGAAGTTGCAGGCGCTTGGATGGAAATTCAGGCCGTTTGACGAGACTCAGGGACAGCGTTGAATCCTTCAAGGCAGCAGGTGTCTTGGATTGAGGAAACACTACTTCATTCCCTATCGCATTTGAAAATCAAAGTCGTTGCCTCATACAGTACATCATTGTCTTTGATCGATAATTGGGATGAGTAATGCAAGCATCAAAAGGGATCAAAGTTTTTTCATGTAATAAGCGGCATTTGGGCAATAGCAATAATAAGGATATCAAATTTATATGAAGGTATGTTATTGTTGGAGTCTTTATATGAATCAAAGAAGTCATGTACTACTATAGAATCCTCATCACCGCTGACTTCGTGCTAAATTTGACGGTGATGATCATCTTCATCATCCCCAGCTTAGAACCAACGGTAAAAATTGATTAAAATATTGAAAAAAAAGTACCCACACCCTGCTGCCGGGCACCGCCCGTGCAATGCTCTGCTGCCGGCCGCTCGCCTGCATTGCATGGAAGCACAAGACGCCTAAAATCGAATGCCTTCGACTAGGGTCGTACCGGCACCGACGGTCTAGAAAAATAGAATAATAAGTTACTAATCATATATAATACTCCTATATAGCACTAACCTATGGTATTGAGTAGTTACTAGAAAGAAATATTTTTAACGATAATACAAGATAAATGGTCGATTAATTACCTACATATGTTTAGGAATTAGGCTACTTACTCGTTGAGTGCTAGCCTCCAAGGATCAATCATCTCAAGTTTTCGATGGATCTATCATTTATGGCACTACGACAGTTTGGCACTTATCAGTATGCACTCTCCAACGTCCCTCGACTCTCCATGACATTGTGTTGTTTGCAGTTTGATACAATTGAATCTCACTAAGTAACCGTCTCGGCTATGCAGCTAGGGAATCTCAAGTCCTGTATTCCACTACAAATACTCCAGATGAAACAATTGAATCTCACTAAGTCATCGTCTCCGCTTGGCAGCTAGGGAATGACCAGGTAGGCCGACAACGCAGGCGTTTCAGACTCATGTTTCAATTGTTTCATCTCGATGTTGCAAAAGTAGATTCTGGGATGTTGCATATGTTGCAATGATAATATACGCATGTTTCAAATGTATGTTTCAGTTGTTTTCAAACATATGTTTCAAGTGTTTCATCTCAATGTTGCAGAAGTATATCCGGATGTTGCATAACATGCATGTTTCAAGTGTTTCAGGTGTTTCATATGTATGTTACAAGTGTTTCATCTAGATGTTGCAAAAGTATATCTAGATGTTGCATATGTTGCTATGGCTATACACACATGTTTCAATCGTATGTTTCATCTTTTTTCAGTCGTATGTTGCAAGTGTTTCAACTGGGGAGCACATGTTGCAATGGCCCCAGTGGCCGGCCTGCAGCAGCCGCCTGCTACTGCTACTAGGGCGCCGCCGTGGGTCACCATGCGAGCGCCTGACGAGGCCGGAAGACGCCTCCGCGGTGCGCATCCGCATGCGGGGTCAGGCAGGCACGCTCCTGCCTGTTACTGCCCTATTATGCATGCGCGACGGGCGCGATGCATTCGAACGGAGAGCAACGTCCGGACACCTCCTATGGTCGAACGTCGAGCGCTAGCCCTTCCGAAGTAGGTTAGACAGACGGACAAATGAAGTAGTGTAGCCATTCCTAGATTCAGCACCTACCGTTGTCATGGACTCACAACAAAAAAATGTTAATTGGAGTATAGAATATTGATTATCAGATGAATTATAGTTAGGGGTTTCGCTCTGATTCAAATCTGAATTTTAATAATATGGAGAACTTTTAATATCCATGCGGATATGGGTCATCCAAATCCGATTATGTGCGGAAGTGGGATAGGATATGGAATCAACAAAATCCGGCAAATGTAGATTATCCATAAATTCTATATGGATTATCCGACGTTTAGAATAGAATATCCGATAATTTATCTTCCTAGACAAAAACCTAGAGGAATTGATGATTTAAAAAAGTTTTTAGTTGAGAACTCTTGTTTTGTGATGTCGTTGTTTGACGTTATAGATTTTGAATTGAGATCTTATTGGCTGTTATTACATATTGACTAATGACTTATCATTTATGAGTGAGGATAGCCTATTAATGCTAATTGTAGTCGGTGCGATAGCCACAACTTGAAATCAATGTATGATTATTTTCTACTATCTGTTATTGGCTCTTTACAAAATTAACTCTTGACATGTATGCATAAATTATTCAACTATTTAAATCCGTATCCAATTTGACTCCACTCTATATTTGTACCAGTTCCGACATTCGAAGAAATCCGCATCCGCATTCATGTAGTATTTGCTCTGATCCGAATCTGACAAAGAAAAACATATTAGAATATGAGAGGCATTACCGATCTGATCCGTTTTCATACCTACTTATAGTATTTTTCCCTAAAAATTTGGAGCTCGTACCATCGCACGGGTAGCACAGTACTGTGTGCCAGGAGCTCAACCAAACAGGTGTGCAAAATGAAGAGCCTGTTTGGTAGGGCTTCTCTACCTTCACAAAGCTATTTTTTAGCTTCTCCTACCAAATAGGATCTGATGAAACAGCTTCTAAGTTGTTTTTCCAGCTTCTCTCACATGCACAATTTCCCAAGTGAAGCCGAAAATATTAGCTTTTCCTCAGCTCTCTCTACTTTCTTCCCTAAAAAACTGTTTTATCATACGTTTTTTAAAACAATTTTAGCTTCACCGGTGAAGTTACTTTATAGAACCGAAATAAAAAATAACTACTCCCTCCGTTTTAAATTATAAGTCTCTTTGATTTTTTTATTCATCTATTTTGTTATATATCTGTACATATTATTTATTTAAATTTATAGCAAAATAAATGTTTTAAAAAAAATTAAAGTGACTTATAATTTAGAATGAAAGGAGCAAGTGAAGCTGAGCTTTGCCAAAGACCCGGTGACCGTGTGCATTGTTGCGCACAAAGTACTGTATGCACATAGGATCCCCTCGAGTTCTCTGCCCAACCAGTGAGCTTTTCTTTTTTCTTTCTTTCTTTTTTTTTTTTTGAAACCAACCATTGTGCTATATCCTCGTAGTTCAGGAATCAAAGGACGCCGACTAGCGCCAAATTGTCAACCGCCACAATTTGCACCAGGTCAATACGGCCGACCGTATATTTAATAACAACAAGTACTGTAATAAATAATAATCCTCTCGACACCCGAATCAGTCTAAGACTAAGGTTCCGTTCGCTGGTCTGAAATTTGGCTGAAACTGATTAAAAAATACTGTTTCGACTAAATTGTTGTGAGAGAAAAATATTGTTCCGGCTGAAAAAAAAAAAAAAGAAGCGGAATATAAGGAGCAAACAAGATGAGGCCCCGTAGGTCGTCGTGATCGGTACCAATGGAAGGCGCAGGCGCAGCAGGGAGGACGAGGACGGCGGTGGGCGTGACCGGCGCGGGAGGCTTCGTGGCCTCGTGGCTCGTCGAGCGCCTCCTCGCCGGCGGCCGATACGTGGTCCATGGCACCGTCCGTGATCCGGGTACGAAATCACTGTCTTCTTGTTCCCGGTGAACTGGCGTGTGCGTGCGTACATGACTACATGTTGGAAGATCTGTGCGTGGTGCGCAGGCGACGCCAAGAACGCGCACCTGGCGGCGATGGACGGCGCCGCGGACCGTCTGCGCCTGTTCAGGGCCGACTTGCTGGACTACGGCAGCGTGTTGGCGGCCATCGCCGGCTGCGATGGCGTCTTCCACGTCGCGTCCCCAGTCCCCAGCACCTACCCAGTCGGTGACCCCGAGGCACCACACCTCAGCTCGCCCTTCCCGCTGCTGCCCTCTTTCTTCCCTCGGCTTTCTCATGCGTCTGTTCAATCTTTGTTGCTGCAGGTAGAGCTGCTCGCTCCGGCCGTGACGGGCACCATGAACGTCCTCAAGGCGTGCTCCGAGGCCAAGGTCAAGAGGGTTGTCGTGGTGTCGTCTTTGTCCGCCGTGATGGTGAACCCTGGCTGGCCCCAGGACGAGGTCATGGACGAAGCTTGTTGGTCTGATGTCGAATTCTGCAGAACCACTCAGGTGACAGCAAAAGCTTCACATGCACCCTGTTCCTCTCATCCCCTCAACTCGAGGAAATTCGATGATTTGCACCGGGTGTTTCGCTCATGTATACCTAGGATCGATTGTAAACAGCTAACTACTTAGGACCGATTGTAAACAGCTAACTACTTAGGACCGATTGTAAACAGCTAACAGACAAAGTATAAATAGATTTCACACACACCCATGACATTGCTGTGGATAGCGATGCTGTCAAGTCGTATTACCTTTAGATTTGCATACCTAATTATGAGAAACACTTTTGTCTGCTGTCGTTCCGCTGCCAGAACTGGTACTGTCTTTCCAAGACACTGGCAGAGCTGGAGGCATTTGATTACGCGAAGAGAACCGGACTAGATGTGGTGTCAGTCTGCCCATCCCTGGTGATCGGGCCCTTGCTGCAGTCGACAGTGAACGCAAGCAGCTCCATCATAGTCGATTGCTTGAAAGGTACTACTAATAAGAATCCTCGCCTCACTTTGCTGTGCTCTCCAAGTCTGAAACTCTGAACTGAAATCTTAGCCGCTTTGAGTACATCCAGACGAGTCCTGTAACTGTAACCGCTTTCTGCAGGAGATCATGAGGTGAAACTGAAGCTGAGGAACTTCGTGGATGTTCGCGACGTCGCCGATGCTCTGCTCCTGGTGTACGAGACACCGGAGGCGTCTGGACGGTACATCTGCGATGCAAATGCAAGGCAGGTGTCTGATGTCATAGCGCTGCTGAAGAACTGGTACCCTGCCTACAATCATGCTACCAAGTAAGCAGAAACATACTAGCAAGCTGCTAGTACATAGGTTGCGTTTTGATCCAAGGCAAATGCATGGCAGGTTCGTGCAAGTGAGCGATGAGCCTTTATTCAGCTCCAAGAAGCTGGAGGCGCTGGGCTGGAAATTCAGGACGTTCGAGGAGACCCTCAGGGACAGCGTTGAATCCTTCACGGCGGCAGGTGTCCTGGATTGAAGAAAACACAGTGCCCTGTTCTGTATAACCTTCGCATTTTGAAAATCAAAGCTGTTGTCTTGTGCAACATTCCAACTTCCTTGACTTGAGAACTGAGACGGGTAATGTAATAAAAATCGAAAGGGGCACATTTTGCCGTGTATTATGGCGCCATAGTTAACGGTGTTTTAGTTTCCTAATTTAATATCTTACTTTTGAAACATAAGAAATGGTGGCTCTGAGCTAAAAGACATATGAAACATGACGCTCACAAACACAAAATGTATGGTATCTTATCTTACCATCACTAATTAGAGGCTTTAATGGATCCTTCACGATAATTCTCATCAGATGCGCTAGAAAACAAAGATATATCCTAGAAATTATAACAATAGTTAGAAACATTTTAGCCTTTAATGTAGTATATGCTATCATCAGCATCATCATCAATAATAACCATTGGATCTATTCTATTTTATAAAAATTACCAACCTCTTTCATTATGAAAGACAATTCAAAATATCCCCTAAATTTATATATAAAGTTACCAAACTCTGCCACTACGAAAAATAATTTAAAATATCCACCTATAAAGATAATTCAAAATAACTCCTTATCTAAACTATCCACCTCTTCCACTTTGAAATATCATTTGAAATAACTCCCTAATATTTGCTTTATAAATTATTCATCCCTGCCATTATAAAAGATAATAAAAAATAAAACATTTAATTTGTATCTAAATTATTCACCTCAGGCGCTATAATGTAGAAACAAAAATATCTCTCAAATCTACATGTGAATACTAATATCATTTACTATGAAAATTAATTTAATAATCCATAAAGTATGCTATATATATTTCTAAATTACAACCATCTACAACTGGGTTAATTTAAAAGTAAGCATAATGATATGTTCCGCCTTGTAGACAAAGTAAATATGTACTCCCTCCATCCCAAAAAGAATGTAAATCTCGCTTCCCAAAAACTATTGATGTTTATGATGCGTAATAAGTATTATTAGATTAATCATGAAATATATTTTCACAATAAACTTAATTGAAGATCTATATCTTCTATAAATTTAGCCAAACTTAAGATTGGTTGAATCCTCGTAAAACAAGATTTACATTCTTTTTAGGATGGAGGGATTTATATTAGGATAAATAATTATTTTAATAATTTATCAAGCTTGCGAAAATATTCCCTTAACGAAACACATAGCAAACACACCAACAACCCACTTTAAGGTATATTATTACTCTGATAATAAATATTTGAAGTATTTTCTAAAAGGTAAGTTTGTATATTTTGATTTAAACATTGTGTCGTATTAATATTTCTAAGTTAATTTTTAGCATTCCATATTTATAAAACAATACAACTATAATTCTGTGATATAACGAATTCAAAATATTGAGTGTTGTGATGCAATAAGATCTTATATAATAGGCTTCAATTAAATACACCGAACGTGTGCACCGAAAAATAAACCATTGTCATTAGATATGGGCTAATACAAAAGCCAAGTTTAAGCTAAGGTTTCAATTAAATAAATATTGAAAATACACAATGGTGCCATGCAAAGGAAAAAATATAGATGAAAAATATAAATATATAAATAAGTTTATCGCAACTAGATAGAGTCTACAGAGTATCTATTATGCCTGTTATGTTGAACAATCCCATAATATATATAAGTATTTTTATAAGACAAGGTATTAAATACTCCCTCCTTCCAAATTGTAAGTTGTTGTGATTTTTCTAGATACATAATTTTTACTCTGTGTATATCTAGACATAAGCAAAACTATGTATCTAAAAAGTTAGAATGACTTACAATTTTGAACGGAGTAATAACTAATGCTTATTATGTCTTCTAAGATTTAGTACAAGTACTTATGAAAAGCACATACACACACTTTTTCCTAAAATATAGTCTCTCTTCTTGATTTGAAATGTAGATTCGTCATCCAATGTACCAGGTTCAAATCCTTTGTCTTTTTCTTCTACTAAGGCCCTGTTTGGTTTGGACCTCATAAGCTTTAGTCACCTAAACTAGGGACTAAACTTTAGCCCTACCATGTTTGGTTCCAGGGACGAAAGAGGACTAAAGGGCATTAAAGCTACTATACAAAGACCAAAATACCCTTCTATTTGGTTAAAGGGGGGCCTGGAGTGCATTGATGAGGGCAGCCTATGTACTTTTGGCCTTTTAGTTCCTTGTGACTAGATGACTAAAGGTATTTTAGTCTCTTTTAGTCACTAGGGATTAAATTTAGATGGCTAAAATTTAGGGGGCACAAACCAAACAGGGCCTAAAACTGATTTGTTTCGGGTTTTAAAAATTAGGCTATGAGCCTATGATACATGTAGGCATCTTGACAGCTTGCACGTGAGAATCTGTGGAGCAAAGATGAGTTGATGTGGGCCGTAGCATGGGCCGACCGTGGACCGAGCATGGGAGGCGTGGTTGCGTGTTAGAGATTTTTTGTTTTGACGCTCAGACCAGGAGTGGATAACGTAACCCAACTAACCGGTCCGGTCCCATGCACGGTCCCCATGCCGCACGAGTGTCAGGCTCTGAACTGGAACCACGGTACACTTGTCAGTGCTCATAAGCCACGTGCGGCAACACGTGACGGCACGCGCAGCCACCGTGTGCTGAACCGCTGGTATATAGCGCGCGGTGGCTGGGGAGGAGCGAGGCCACCCATGGACGGCGACGGCGACGCGGGCAAGACGAGGACGATGAAGACGGTGTGCGTGACGGGCGCCGGGGGCTTCGTCGCCTCGTGGCTCCTGCAGCTCCTCCTCTCCCGAGGCGACTACCTCGTGCGCGGCACTGTTCGCAACCCGAGTAAGCTCCTGCTCTACCGATCTGGTCCCCTTGATCGACACAGGGCGCCGCGCGCAACCTCTGCCGACCGATCGATCTCGATTTTCTGCAGTGAGATTGATCGGATCAGATCAAACAATTTGTGATGCAGGTGATCCCAAGAACGCGCACCTGATGGCGCTGGACGGCGCCGGGGAGCGCCTGCTTCTGTTCAAGGCCGATCTGCTGGACCGTGCCAGCGTCGCTGCCGCCGTTGCTGGCTGCGACGGCGTCTTCCACGTCGCCAGCCCCGTTCCGGCCGTCGAGCCCACGAACCCCGATGTAACAGCACTTCAAATCCTCATATCCAAAGAAGAATAATCGCAGATTCTTTCATCTGCTCTGGTCTAATCCATGCATATATAAATATATAAGTGTGACTTGCGTGCAGGTGGAGGTCCTGGCTCCGGCGGTGACCGGGACGCAGAACGTGCTCGAGGTTAGCCACGCGGCCAACGTCCGCCGCGTCGTGGTGGTGTCGTCGGTCGCCGCGGTGATCGTGAACCCCAACATCCCCGATGGCGCCGTCGTCGACGAAGACTGCTGGTCGGACGAGGACTATTGCAGAGCCACTAAGGTGCAGCACGTGCTAGCTGCATCACCTATGGCACTCTATCCAATAATCTTTAGCAGCCATATGACTTATCAATAATGGTCTCTTCTGCTTATGTTGAGCCATGACAGCATGAGTCTCTTCGCCTTTCTGACTTTAGAGTTCGATCGTCACCATGCCTATCAGAACTGGTACTGCGTTTCCAAGACGTTGGCCGAACGCGAGGCACTGGCATACGGCGAGAGGACTGAGATGGACGTGGTCACCGTCTGTCCCCCGTGGGTTCTGGGGCCGCTGCTGCAGCTGACGGTGAACGCCACCAGCATGGGTTTCGTGTCATACCTGAAAGGTCAGTTCCTCGATCTACGTACCTTTGTTTGCATCGCTAAACACGTCTACATATATCCCAGTCCGGTATAAGTATAACACATGGTCACTATCACTACTGCGCAGGAGAAAACACCGATGAGAAGAGGAGGAACATGGTGGACGTGCGCGACGTCGCGGACGCTCTCGTCCTGACGTACGAGACGCCGGAGGCATCTGGCCGGCGATACATCTGTAGCGCGCACTCCATGAAGGTGTCTGAAATGGTCGGCCTCGTCAGCAGCCTGCACCCAGACCTGAAGCTGCACTACCCCAGGAAGTGAGAACCTGATGGCTCGCATCAAGTTAAAATCCCTCTGTAACTCACGATTTGCCGACGACCATTTGCAGGTTTTTTCAGATGGAAGACGAGAAGGGAGTCAGCTCCAAGAGGCTGCAGGCGCTGGGGTGGAAGTTCAGGGTGGTGGAGGAAACTCTGAGGGACACCATCGACTCGTACAAGGCTGCTGGAATCCTGAAGAACTGATGAGTGATGGCGTCATGGAGATTGGACTCAACTGTAATAACATATTAAACTGACGTGGAAATAAAATGGTGACGATGCAAGGCAATAATAGTAATTAAGGCATGACCTCCACCTGTAAATCAGAAATATTTAGTAAAAGGCACAAAGGGACAACTATCATGTTATTACATGTTCATTAATAAATTAACCAATTTCTTCTTCGCAAAAAAAAAACAATTTCTTTGTATAATTACATAGTAGTAACACTGGACAAACAAAAACGAACAATATATAACAGGTGACATGGGCATGGCACCAGATAGGTATGCCACAAAGATGACGTGCAGAGCAGAAGAGATAAAGTCATTCTCTGTTGCCATTTATTGAGTCATAGTTAAACACAGATACCCTGAAGGAATGGTCAAAATGTTACCCATCTCACGCCTGTTTCTAGATAGTCAATGAATCCAGCATGTCTCGTAAGAATATTGATAATTTGAGAGAATTCTGAAATCTGGGTCTGCCCTTTTTTTTATGAAAATGCTTAAGAAAATTCCATGTCTAAGTTATAATTAAAAGCCTAGCAAGCAAAGCCTTGCCAGCAATAGCATCGGTAGCAGTCTATGAAATAACTGCATCAAACCATCTATACCTCCTTATTTGAGCTCAAAACTTTAGGAAACAAAATATGAAATAGATGTCCTTGACAAATTCACCTCAGGGTTGGAGGACCGACCGGAAGGGACAGGGCTAGCTACATGGAAGACACCCTCACATCCAGCAATTGCTGATGCAACACTGCTGTAGTCCAACAAATCAGCCTTGAGAAGCTGCAACATTTCCCCAGCACCTTGAGATGAGCATTCACAACGTATCAGGTGCAAACTAATTAATCTGTGCAAATTTGAAAACTACTGATCAGGATCACTAAACGCTGATCTAATTGATGGGGTGAGAGGTGGGATTTTTTTTTTGCGCTTAAGCCCCCCACCTGCCAGCCCTTTCTTTTTTTTTGCGCTTAAGCCCCCTCACCCCATCCATTGGATAACATCTAGTGGTCCTAATTGATAGTTTCTAAGTTTACATAAGTTGGTTGGTTTGCACATGATATGTTGCCTTCTTGCTAGCACCTAGAGCACAAACAAGATATATCTTCATCATATATATAACAAATTTCTTGGTCCGTCATAAGAAAAAAAAAAAGATACTCATTCAGCTTTTATTTAATCAGGCCATGAATTTTCTTGAGTCAGCTGTGAGTGTTCTTTTCCTTTATTTTTTTCTGTTTGTTCAACTTCCTTATTTGAACTTTTAACTTCTTTTGAATGCAAAGAACGAAGTGTAGGTATCCCCGGTGTGTACTTGATATAAAACATGTATATTACTATAGAAACTTTTGAACTCTCCCTGCATTTATTTGTGGTTGTATCTCATTTTCAGGTTAGAAACAATGTGACTTCTGTTTTACAATATTTTCACCAAACAGAAGTAAACTTCTTTTTCTACATCAGTTATTTTGCTGTACATTTCCATGTTGATCGTAACGAATAGTTACTAATTACAACATCACACCCAGTTCCTCCTGTATCCAAGTATATTTTTAATAACATGACGTACTTAGGCTAGACCTTGCAGCTCCTAAGGACGCCTCAGGAGTCAGGACAATACAGTTAGAAAAGAATCTGGATCCTAATGTGCTTCCTTTTAAATTCCAAGATGATTGCACATTCCCTTGTCTCTGTTCAATACAAGAAAAAAATGAATTCTATCTACACATATTCCCTCTATCCTAAAATAAGTATACATCTCGTATTTCAAGAAGCCAACCAATTTTAAATTTAACTAGATTTATAAAAATTAGTATATTGACATCTATATCTCTAACAAGGTTCACTGTGAAAATATATAGGTTTATATTATGAAAATATATAACAGGATTTGGTATCATTTAAAGAGAATTTTTAAAATGGTTGGAAAAAAATATGAACCATCCATCGAGAGAAATCAAACGGTAGAAAAATAGGAGACATCAATGAACAAGCAGTCAGAAGTACTAAATAATTAGGGACGGTACCAAAATTACTGGGACCAGTACTAAAATAGGTGGACCACATCCAGTTTTTTATTATTTTGTTAAGTCATTTCCGAATCTTCCTTGAGGGTAAAACTGGAATTTGCCATCCGGATCATTGTGGACCTGCGGCTGTCTCCGCCGGACTGCTCACGCATCCCCGGAGGAGGCCACAGCACAGGGCAGCCGAGGAGCGGTGGCCTCGTGCGCAGCTCCAACAATAAGCTTGGCGTTCCTGCACGCGGGCACCGGTGCTGATGCTGTGCTGGCCACGCCCCTCTCCTGGCTCCTGCAAGTCTGTAAGGAAGAGCTGTGCCTCTTGTTCAACTCCGGCTAGGCAAGGCGAGTTCGCACTCTCGGAATTCGGTCTAGACTACGCCGTACTAGCACTGCTGGGAGCTGAACGGAAGCTAAGGCAACACACGAGCAGAAGGCCGGAACGCTAGGCCGAGCTTGCAGGCCACTAGATTCTTGACCTTGCCATGATCCCGTCGTTCTGCGCAGGCAGCCGCCGCCGCAGCCCGGCCCTTGCTGTTCTTGACCGGTATCGAGCGAGAGCTTTACCTTGCCGTTCTTGACCATTGCCGAACGAGAGCTCTAAGAGATTGAGCAGTTGATGAGCTGCACCGGGATTGTTCCGGCGAACTCGTTGCTGGAGAGCGCGCGTCAGTTCACCGATCTGCGGCAGCGAGCCGAGCCAGTCCGGAACCGCCCCTGACGTCTAGTGAAGCGAACGCTAGACCTAGTCTGCCTGTGCGCTTTGCATTCTACCAGAGTTCGAACACTCCTGGCAACAGATTTGTTGGTCGGAGGAGGCACAGTTTATTAGTGTGTTGAAAAAAAATCCTCCTATCTGCTTCACGTCAAAAGCACAGGTCTAAGATCAGTTCAGTCTCACGGGAGTTGTGATATTGCTGTGTATAGATGGGGTAGAGGTTCCGAGGTTTTTTCGACCTATATGAGAAGGTCTGCTTCTTAAGCACAAAGCCCGAGGGCTTCTTATCCCTGCAGGTTGGTTTTCTTTTTGACACGTCTAGAACAGCGTCAGCGTGGCGATGCCGCGTGCGAGGCAAAATCGGTCGGTAGAGCATGTTGCAAATAATAACTAGTATATCCTTAATAATAAAAAATCAAATTTTGTAAATAATCTTTCTCAATTAAATGACTAGAAAATAGAAAAAACGAAAATACCTAAAAGTACCGTGGTACTTTACCCACCACCCTAAAAGAGCTCTTATATTAAAACGTTTTTGTATATTTTTTTTTGTTAAACTTGAAATTCGTTGGATACGAGCGTTATTTTGGGACACATAGAGTATACTCTAACCCCATGTGGCCATGTACACAAGAATCGCCGCTGCGAAGCTAAGAAACCAGCAGGGATCGTGACGGATCCACGAGGGAGGTCTGAGAGCCTTACCAGGGTCGCGCACGGTGCCGCGGACCGCGTATTGGCCTCGGGAGAGGAGCTTCACCAGCCACGACGCGATGAAGCCGCCGTCGCCGGTCACGCACACGGTCTTCCCCCGCCGCCGCCATTGCTTTCGGCTTTTGATTGCTCTCGTTGACTCGTTGTCACGCTGCCGCTGAAGAAGTGAACGGCAAGCCCACAGAACCACAGTTTAGAGCGGATGAGCAGTCTAGGCGTGGCGGCGGCGGTGGGCGGTGGCACTAGAAAGAAAATTCTACGCACCATAGAAGACGTGCGACACCGGATTGCTCTGCTGACACGCGTCGATCACACATTCACACGCGTCCCATATGACCCAACGTCCCCAAAACCGCACTCGGTCGGGCGAAAAAAACAGTTGAGCCGACGCCGCACCTCTAGAAGCCAGAGGCTCGGGTCGCAGTCGCATGCATCCAGGAAGTCATGGAATGGACTTTGAGGTGTTTCTCTGTATCCCCGAACTCTGTTTCTGCTTAATGAAATACACACGGTCGCGAAAAAGGAAGTCATGGAATCACTCGGCGTCGACGTTGATTGGTGGTGCAAGGTGGCGGCAGGAGGGACGAGGGAGAAGGCATGCGTCTGTGGATGCAGTTGAGTAGACGAAAGCAGACTCCTGCCCAAATTCCTCTCATTCCCGACCGAAACCTGTGATTCTGTCTGTGTACGTATACGGCTTGCATAGCTTCTGCAGATGCCGTCAGTAGCAGAGTGATGGGAGCAACAGCATTTTGTCTTTGTGATCATGTATAAATTGGTATAATGATCTGAAGCACCATTGAAGAGGCAAAGTTCAAGTTATCTGATGCTTGGAAGACTGAAGGCGTGGTCACAAAACAGAGGACTTGCAGGCGTTGCTCTGCCAGTCCCAGATTACTGCTCAGCTTTAGGGTAGTCGCTGAGAGCCACTCCTGAGTTCTAAATTTTTATGGTGTCGTGGAGTTGTAGTTTACTGTAATCGTAGGACATTGTCACTACTAATTTTTTACCCTGTTGCACCGGCAAATTTTTGATGTAATAGAGCCAAAATTGATGCGATAGCTTGGTATCACATCAATTTCGCATTTGATGCGAGCCGATGCAAAAGCTCTAGATGCAATAGTCTTTTGGCATCGGTTTGCTGTAACCGATGCGAGAGTTTGCTATTGCATCGGCCATCCGTTGTCTCTTGCATCAAAATAGAGAGATGCAAAAGGGTTATTGCATCAAAACCGCTTTGATGCGAGGTTGTTATTACATCAGCCATGGATGTCTCTTGCATCAAAGATAGAGAGATGCAAAAATGTTATTGCATCAAAATTATGTAGATATAATACATCTAATAAATTTGATGCAATAAGAATTTCTATTGCAACGGCTAACATTTGGTGTAATAGACCATATTGCATCGACATTAGATTCGGTGCAAGAAAACCTATTGCATCGACATTAGATTCGTTGCAACACAAACTATTACGTCGACATTAGGCTCGTTGCAACATAAACTATTGCATCGACATT